AGTTAACTTTCAGTTTATACCAGGAGAATTTTCACTTAAACTACAAGACAGAAGGATATGGCTCATCTATTGAATTTTCCAGCTGTACTCAGAACCATATTTTTTAGCAGAGGCATTCACACGAGAAACAACTTTCAGCAAGACACTCCTATCGTGAGTTTTAATTTGTAGCAGACTTTCATTTGCGTCGAACCTGCAGGCAAAAATAGATCACAACATGCAGGTAAAAAATATCTTCACGTTTAAAAATATCCAATCAATTATGCACGTTCAGCTGGCAGTTCTGTCTCACACAACAGTCCAACAGGAACGAAATATTTTTCGGTATGAACCGACGCGCTTGATTCGAAGTAATCAAGACGGTTCTTCGATTCTGTATTTAAAAAAAGGAGACAGGTACCGCTTGAAAAATAATACTCATTTTAAAAAGTGAAATCCACGGAGAATAAATGCCCGATACACGCTTGGTCCCGTAACCCAAGCCCCATATGCACTGGCCACGTTGGAGGGGTTCCGACTCTTTGCCGGGTTCGTCCACGGGGCGCCCACCCCACCCCACCTGTCGCACTCTCCAGTTCCGTCCCTTACCTACTACCGACATTCTTCACAACGATTACGCACTCCGCAGATTTCCCCCGAAGCCGCGTCGACGGAAGAGGGTGACGCGCGAGAACTGCTTGCACAACGAGACCGCCAGGTACGTACATGTAGTGGATGAAGTACGAGTACAAATATTGGACTCGAAAAAAGGGGTACAAGGAGAAGCTTGTTGCCATACTCAGCATACTGGTTGTCCCGGAACGATTGCCTACGGGATTCACGCGCGTACGGCGGGCCACAATTGTTTCTTATTCGAAAAAAAAAACCTTGAATAACCAGATGCCGCCTTTACTTGAGATATGATGTATTATACAACAACAAAAAAGGCTTGAACTTTTTTCTATATTCATTTATGACATATTATATTCTATATTTATGGAGACGTTTCTGGGTTCCGCAAACCACTCCCGAAAGCCTCACCTACATGCAGCAAATCTTTGAGGAAACTGAATGTTTTTATTAATGAAAAAAACAATACTGTAATAATCAAGCTTTACACCGGTTCACTTCTCATCTTGAACATGTAGCGAAACCACTTCCATGAGCTGAATATCGTGCTTTTGATTTTTTTTTTATTCGACACTTTTCAACTCTTTATTAGAAACATAAATTTTAAATTTGTTTTTAGATATGCTTCATGTTCTCCGAACGTTTTCCAAAATGTTTGCGGTCTTGGCAGCAGTTTACCGGCTGAAATTGCTAATCAAATTTGGAAAGGGCTTGTACAAACACGCGGCCGTTACACGCGTGAATATAATATTTCATTAAAAAACCCTGCCCATTTTTCGGGCACCAATTTCAAGTACAGACATTTACAAAGAGAAGCTTTGGTAAAAATAACGAAAATCAGTATAAATTCCGCAGCCTAAGATACTGTAATATTTTGTATAAAACAAGGATGTTTTTCACATCTTGTGCACGCAACTTTTACTTCCCAACGTTTCTGCGGCTGTTCCTGGTAGATGACATAAATCAGAGTAGAACTATATCTAGCATCGATAAGCAGTGCTCACAAGATATAGGGATATTTTTCTAAATCTATTAAAAAACAATCCAGACATAAATTATAATTTTTGTTGGCGAAAATAAAAAGGGGAAAACTGCTGCAAGTCTTTGGATACGACGGCAGAGACAAAAATATAAATTGATCCTCGAAGGGGTTCTTCTAGTCAAAACGGTAGAGAAACGCAGTTCTGAACAACCCCGTACAAAATAATGCGTAAAAAGCTACACTTTGTTAGATTTAACAGTTTTCGTTTCATTTTGCATTCAGCATGAAAACAGTTTGTGCATTTATATTTCTACTACTGTATAAGGAATCAAATAGAGTTGTCAGTCATATGAAAATGAAACTATGCGTCGTTCACGGTTCATCTAGGAGCTTTGTTGATTTAAACGTTGACCAAAAACGAGTATGTGTCCATACCTTCCCGTTATTCGCCCTGTTGTCAAGGTTTCTGGTCAAATGAAGCACATATCCTGATAATTAGCATTAGGCACCTTCGTGGCAATTGAAGAACTGAATAATTCTACCGGATGAGGCTCAATTGTCCGATTTTCGAGAAGAAACGGTGCTTCCAGTTCCAGCAGAAAACGTCCAAAGATCCTGAAGCCACGGAGACTTTCTTCTCCATTTAACAATATGGTGTTCGTTTCTACAATATTTAAAAAATCTTATCCGTATCGCACCGATTTTTGTCTCGTACGAAAATAGAACACCGCTTCAGAATATTTATGAAGAAACATAGAATACGTTTCATGCATTTTATTTTGCATGATGCATCATTCCGCGTGGTGGAATCGAAAATATCAAAGGGACCCAATTTGGGTCGATAAGATGCGCTGTTGGAACCAAGTACACGCCGGATCTCGGGAACCCACACCGTGGACTTGCGTTGCGTTGCGTCGGGGGGGGTTTTGACCTGTTAGGGTTGATGAACCCTAGGTCGCATCCCTATACGACAGAAGCTCGACCCAGGTCGTTGGAGTGATTCACACGATATTCTACGATAAGCCATGCAGTTCTTAGCCGGATGAATCATCGGGGTCATTGTATGGAAGCAAACAGCGTTTCCCTCATGGAAATAACGCATCGCACACGAGCAAGATTCAAGATTCCAGATTTATGTCCAAGGTGTGGATGACCGAGACAACCCATGTTCATCTTACAACATACACAGTGAAATATGAGGGTTGTCCCAGTTTCACACGCCTCTAACACCTTCCTAGTGCTATGGACACGATTCAAGAAAACTAAAAAAAAATTACTCGGACAACGGTGAAATGTCATGCTGAACTACGAAATTATCGTCTGAACAGTTGGTAGCGAATCATGAATTTCAGTGGCAGCAAAATGAAGTTTATTATTTTCCTTATCTGTTCGAGTCAGAAGCGAATTCAATGTTACAGACTTTTTTGGTTTCCACACTTTTCCAAAGACAAAAGTAATGATTAAATGAAGGAAATATTTGTCCAGATTTTAGCCCTGGTTTTATTACTAGACCTAAGTTATGCTGCCACTAGAACGATTCCCTCTGCCAACCAAGAACATCATTTGTAATTTAATTTGAAATTCTCGAACAAATATGACATATTTACCGAATCAATTTTAGTTTATTTTCAAACTGAATTCTTGCAAAAAAAATCAAAGGCCCGCGAAACTGGGACATCCATCGCATTACAAGAGATTAAGGGAGCGTTTGATGATCTCCAGAAAATAATTGATTGGAAGATTTCAACGGAATAAAGTGGATTCCAAAAGTCCAGACTTTTTATTGTACTTTTTAACAATTGTGAATTGTTCCAGGGAATGCTTTACATGTTGGAAAGTAAAATAATCCCGACGATTTGTAATACCTCAGACGTTTTAGACCAAAACATCAGTTTCGTTCACTTGTCGAACACCAGCTTTGCGTGCTGTTTGAAGAACCAGCAGCTTGACTGAATCATACGTTTCATGCTCGAAAGAGGAGATAAAACTCAAAAAACAGACATGGTCGTGTAGAAAGGAACTGAGCCGTTGATAAGCTGGACGCAATGATTGTTTCACATGGTTTTGCCGGACATGAAGCAGCAAGTTTGGTCGAAAACGCGAGGATTTGACATGGCTCTCGGACTTACCGTATTGCGATAGTGCGAATAAAGCTGAGGTGAAATGCATGTGTGAAGTTCTTGAGTGTTCCGAAAATATACCCTCTGTATTCCCATTATTCGCAGGATTGCCAAGTTGTTGAGGCGGGCAACTTACCACGTATTTTTTCTCGAGCTAAACAATAGTATCCAATTTTCTTTTATCAAAGTAAACTGGAAAGTCTTCGAGCTGCAATCCCTCACGCAAACTCATTTCTCGAACGACCGGCTCTTCGAAAAGTTAACCGTCCATTCCTGTGACATTCCATTGATCAAGGGATAATTAGTATGAAAGTTTGTTCGAAATCCACTTGTAATCTTGATGTGGATTTTGAGGATAATTCTCTTGGTTCACACGCAAAACTGAAGTAAAGAAAGCGATAAAAGTTACGAGTTTATGAACATAGCAGTAGTCAAGTTAGGTCGTATTGGCGACGAAGATCCCCCCCCCCCCCAAACAGTTGAAAGTAATCATTGAACATATTCCTTCGTTTCTGATCCTTTTTAGAGGAAGCGTTTCTGTAAAAACCTAAACTACGGCACTGACATTAGATCATATCTATTTCCCTGACTTCTGGCTAAGATATGCTTCCAAAAAATATGTATTTCGGAAAAGCGATAAAAAAAATTACCAATATCCTTGATAGAATAGCTAATGCTTGTGAAGGTCATATACGCATAATCTTGAGTATACACGAAGCACATAAGAGACTGCGTTGCGGACATTTATCCAATATATATCTTGAGTACACTTGTCAAAAATGGTTCTGGCGCATTCTTAACTTTTTTTCGATCAAGAACGTGCGGCATATCATCACCTATTTAATAATAAAAATTACGTTCTGTGACGCAAGGTTTCTTTTCTTTCTCGAAATGCAGTGCCCTCTGGTAAAGAACCTTGACGAATTCGAAATTCGATGCGTTATCGTCCAAGAATCTTGGACCTATAAAAAACGACGAGAGAGAAATTTCGCGTCCCCTTCCCTAAAATATATAATACGAGAAACGAGTGAAAACCTGTGAACGTCATGAATATCTGACTAAGTTCCCTGGAATTCCGGCTTAACCGTTATGCGTACGGAGTACCCGGACTCATAAAACCCCGCTTCACGATCGCAATAATTGTCCATACTCTTCGTCGAAAAGCAGTGGCGATTCCATATCGAAAGCTTTTTTGCATTATTTAGGATTCTTAGCGAGGCCGAGTGATATCTGATCTACATATCTGAACTTGCCTGACTCAGTCACGTTTATTCCAGCTCGATCTGATCATGAGAACCCTGCATGGCATCGCTCTGCTCGTTCTGTTCTGTTCGGCGCACGGAGCGACTTCGAAAAGGCAGAATGTGACCGACGAACGTGTGAATGTCGCATCAAATGATGGCAAAAAAGGAGCTTTCATAAAATTTCCTCTCGAAGTTGGTAAGGTGAGTCACGGCATATGCTATCCGCATGATGGTTTCGCTAATGGATTGGATGGAATGGAGTGGAAATGAATTAAATGCAGTACTGTACTGTACTGTACCAGCTTTGGAATTCCCTTCAACAGTTTTTTTTAGATCACTATTACCAAAACAACCAAAAAATGATTTTTTTTAAATCACTCGCTTCTTTCTTAGGGAAGCATTTGTATACTCATACGGATTTTCTGTATACGCATTTCTTTGCTTCTGTATCGCGAAACCCAATTTCAGAAGCCAAAATAGTTGGATCAGTTCCATCAATGCCATTTTTTTTACTTCATCCCTAGCCGTGCCCCATACAGTCTGAGTTTGAAATTCCTTCCTAATCATAAGTAGATGTCGCTGTCTTCGTGTAAGAAAACTCGTACGTCAGCTTACAACGTCTCATGCGTAATTCCGTTATTTTGTAAGAGAAAAGAAATGAGACTGTATTTATTTGATTATATACCGCACTTGTATGTGCACCCGTGAAATTGGGTTAGGATATGACACATGTAGTTATGATGCTCAAGTGCAGATTGCATTCTTGTCTATTATATGTGTGGCCCATAATCAAAATCATCGGAAACCTGAGAAGTAACGAGATTTTCTCGTGTCTGTAATACATCCAAAGAATTAAAAATTGATTTATAATCCCGAAACGGTCGTCGAATATCCCCACATATTCTCATCATGTCTTAATTTCAAAGCAAGTCGGACTTTTTGAGGTATAGAGAAATTGTTTTATGAAAAACTACTAGTTTTGCCCATGTACGCAAAACTATGCGAACGTTGCCCTTTCCCTATATCATTTAGAATTATTTCCCGGGGGATGAAGTTTTTAAATTCTTTTAAATTGGCAATTCAATATATTTGTGGTCTCTGACGTCAAATACGCTTTATTTAAATGGTTGTTGTGTATCGAAATAATTTTGAATTTGCAGCGCATTGAGGCGGACACAGATGGAAACAAGATCATCAGCACTTTGAGCGTCACTGTTATGTTGAGTGTACTATACTTGGCTGCTGCCGGAGACACTGCTAAGCAAATCGAAAATGCTCTCAATTTGCCACCAAATGCCGAAAAGGTCATTGATGTCTTGACAACCCTCAGAAATGCCGTGGAGGTCAGTACCTACATCCTCAACATTCACAAGCATTTCATCGACGCATTTTGAAGCTCTATCAATCTTTTAGAGACCCAATCGAGACTTCAACCTGGAAAATTATCCGTTGAAAACAGAAACGAAGGTCATTTTGAAAGAGAGTCTAGCTCCGCCTCCGGAGAACGAAATTGCTAAAACTTTCGCCGAATTTGTCGCCGAACATCTTTTCGCCAAGATTGAAGTTACGCCTCAATTTGATGATACAGTGCGGTCCAAAGTGAATCAATGGGCTTCGGAATTCACAAAAGGCACCATCAAAAACCTCATACTGCCTGGTACTGGGGAAAATTCCCTGAACTTCCCCTAGCTTTATCTGAATTATTTTTTTTCGGGTCAACTTGCAGGAGAACTCAACGAAAATCAAGCAGCTTTACTGGTGAACGCTGTGCTACTTCAGGCCAAATGGCTTCATCCGTTTGATCCCTCTAGGAGCAAAAAATACGATTTCTTCGTTGTTAAAGACAAACAAAACCAGACTTTCAAGCGAATTCAGGTTGATGGCATGAGTGCGGAAAATCTCCCATGTCGGTACGTGTGGTTGGAGAAACTCAAATCCCATGCTTTAGAACTCAGGCTCTCGGTATGTGGTCCATACGACTTTACAGGAATTGAAGGAATGTCACGCGATATGATATATTACAGGATTCTCTATCGAGAGTGCTAATTTTGCTGCCTGGAGATCTTTCAGCAAATTTGGATGATCTGGAAAATGCTGTGGATGCTAAGTTGTTCACGGACATTCATTCAAAATTAATGGAGCGTCAAGACGTTGATGTTCAAATACCAGTGGTCAATATTGAAACTAAGGCCTCTATGCGCATGTTACTAGAAAAGGTGCGACTCAAAAAAATCATTACGCTATTCTACTCATACTTCAAATTTGTTGGACTTCTGCTTCATTCAAATGAATTAAAATATGCACGACATTGTAACTATCTAACCTGAAATGAGTTATAGATGGGTATCCGGAAGGTTTTTGAACGCGATTCTGCGGAGTTGCCAGGCCTGACTGGAAAACTACTCGACCACTCCATTCATGTGTCAGATTTCAAACACCAGGCGAACTTGAAATGGAATGAAACGGGAGTATTGGCTTCTGGAGGATCAGGTATGGGATTCAAAATATTGTTCAGTACTTACATCTAATTCTGTATGCGACATTATGCTTTTTAGTTGGCGACATAGCTTTTACGTGGAACTTGAGTCCTGTGATCAACGTCGATCGGCCATTCTTACTTTACGTCAACTCATTCGCGTCAAGCAACTCAAGGCAACCGAACTTGATTTTATTCACCGGAAGGATTTCTCTACCAGTGGTGTCCTACGAGGAATAACAATTACTATTCCCATTATTGAAAGTAAAATGTATCAATTTTGCCAAACTTCATTCGTCACAGAGAAAATAAATTTCCGACACAATTTCAGAAATACTTCATTCTTAGAAGGAACTTGAATTTATAGCGTTATAGCCAGCTGACAAGTTCAAGGCGAAGTTATTCGACGAACGCTGGAGAGCGGAACAGCGTATGGAATGTCTCGAGCCACACCCTCCTGACGTTTGGGGAAAGACTGATCTATTCTAGGTATATAAAGCATATGTAGAGGTCGCGCTAAACAAAGCTAGTTGCCATAGAGGCGTACATCGCATGCAAAATTCGCTGAAGTGGCGGCGGGTTTCATCTATTTCAACTTCCCATCGACCGAATAGAGAAAATGCCAAGTTTTATATTCAGCCAGGTCTCAGGATTTTTTTCCTCCTCCAATCTAATTCAGAAACGATTATGGAGGCACAATCGGGTAATCTAAGTGTCAAACATGAAAGAAAATATCTGTTATGATCGAAAGTTACAAGGAACAGAAGTTATCTGCAAGATGGAAATTCTTTCTAGAACGATTAGATGGGATTCCCAGTTGAATTAGATAACCTCCGTAATTGTATTTTAGGAGGAGACAATCGAAATCGCAAGGAAATGTATGAAATGGAAGTCAATTTTATGAAAAGTGTAAGAGCTTAAAAAAAGATTTATTCTGGCGCGGAACAGGATTAATTAAGCATGTTCTCAATTTATTTTCAGTTTACTTCGATATAACTTCTGAAAGGGTTCGTTGAATGCTTATACATTTCAGCATTTGAATGCATCCTTTTGAATTTCCAGCGATCGACATTCCAAACGATCGTCAACGAGAAATCGTCGACGAATATACAATGAAAAATGCAATAAAACGCACGAATTTCACGAAATCCAAAGCAATCGTCGGTTGAATATACTGTACAATGAAGATTGAAGCATTCAATAAATCGCACGAAAACTCGTCCTGCTTGACTCGTTCGCTATTCCAGGCTGCGTCGGTTTCCATGCTCATCCGTCTTCCGTGTTCAGTGAAAGCCGAGGATTTGTGAGCCTGCTGTCAGTCCATAGATCCCTGGGATAATTTGTTATGATCGGTAGTAAAAACTTCGAAGTGAGTAGATGACGTTTGGCTGCTGCTGGCGTGACACTGAGGCCATTTCCTTCGCCACGCCTCAGCAGTGTTAACACACAAAAAAATACCCGCTCATTTTTCTACGCGAGGAGAAGCATATAACGACGGGAATGGAATGAAGTACGCATTCTTGTCGACGCGTGCAAAAACGGACTCCCTTTCAGCACCCACATGTTTTCCGACAATTGATGGGATTTTTGTCATATCCCACCCGTCATTTGTTTATTTTTCTTGCGGACGTCTTGCGTGAAAAGGCCGCGGAAAACCGCCCATTGAGCGAAGGCAGGAGGGGCTTTTCGACACGAGCTGAAAGCGACGGGGCGAGGCCAATAGGAACGCAAGTCGGATGAAACGATGATCAGGATCCCTTTTGGTGTATTTTCTGCGCGGCCGGGGCCCCGCCGGGTGGATGGTCCCGTGGTGCGCGGACAATTGGCTGAATGGTGGCTGATTATGTGATGTTCCGCTGCTCGATCCCCGGCAGCCTCCGAAATCCATTTATTCGGTCTTCAGTCTTTCGGTTCACCTTGTCGGGACAGTTGATGGATGGGCGCTTTTTTTCCGGGGCTCGTCGACTCCGTTCTTTGTCCCGTCGCAGTGGACCATCGCCTCGTTTTTCTTCGCCCCCTTTGTGCGCCGCGAGTTATGCACAATCCGCAATCACGCGGGTTTTTGGGGGAGTGATTTCGCCGCGGCGGCGGTGGAAAACGGTAGACGACCGCCGCCGCTAAAGGGCTTATCCACGCTCAACCTGTCTGCTCGACTACCTTTTCCCGGCTCATGAAAAAACGAAACCAGCATTTCCGCCATCAAACAACGAGATTCCACCTGATTTAAAGCTTCTTTAAAGCCCGGGAAATCGCCATTGATGGACATGAAAACCAAACAGTTTTTTTTTAGCCGAAAGATAGCGGGTTTGCAGGACCCTCTTGCCCATTCAACAACAATGTCCACTATAATAATTGTACGACAGCCACAGCAATTGATAAAAATCACCCTGGATATGGTCATTCCCCAAACCAGGACCAAGCCTATTTGCAACGGTTTTTAAATAACGAATACCTTATTCTGAACTATTTTAAGTGCTGTATGACGCAAAATTTAAGCAAAATATGTCAAATTACATTAGGATGCCTTTCTTCCGTATAATAGGAAACATTATCATGTTTTAATCGCATTCACATGAACACATGCACATGTAAAAATTAATCCGGAAAATATAAGTTGGAACGCTTTCTTGGTAGGCGATTGAAAAGAAGGTGAATATACCGAACTGTACTGTAATTGTTTCGGTTTTCTCGTCTTAATGATTCATGCACGTTTTCTTTTTCTTCGAGTAATTCTCGGATTCTCCGGGAATGTTTTATATGCACAGAATATTTCAACAATTTGGTCGTAAGAATAATTGTGAATAAACAAAATAAAAATTGTTATATTTTGATTTTAGGGACTGTAACTGCCCTGTTCACGTAAGTTTTACTTACTTTTGGCAGATAGAACAAAATATCACAAAAGTTTTCACGCTATAATTCATTGATTACTTTCGAAAACCACATGAGAGAAACCCGCATAAAAATAGCATTTTCTTTTTGTCGCTTCAGTCAGATGGACTGGGCTCAAACTTCGACAAAAAATCTTTAATTAGGTTAAAATATAGTGGTTAAAATACTTGTTCTGATCATTGCTGACGGAATTTGTAATACGAGCACGAATTCCACGACAATTACGACGGCTTAACTTAAGTAGATTACGAGTTATATACTGTATTCATGAGAATATGTACAGGTGGACTCTCTCTACAATGATCTTGTCTGCAATTTGCACTGTACAAATTTTTTTTTTGTCCCATAGGCCTGTCTCCCCATGCTACAGTGATTTTCTACAACGACATTCTCTCTCCAACGAATTTTTTTTGGTCCTTTGAAATTTTTTTGTAGAGAGAGTCAATCTTTATATGCTCGATATACTGAACAGGATTTTTTCGGAAACAGTACAGGTGTCCAAAAAATGCGAAGTTTTCTGCGTGGAAGGAAAAAATGCGGATTATAATCAAGCAAAATCTTTTAATTTCTTCCAGTAATGTGCAAAAATGATTGAGAATGATGGTCGGGTTCTAAGGTTATGGATAAATTAATAAAGTGCTGTACATCCGGAAAATGGGAGAGAGTCGATGTTTCACCGCATGTCGTTTGCGACATTGATTCTCGGGAATAAGCCTCGCTTGCGTTCAAATCATCCGCGAGTATTTCTCGGGGAATGCAGTCTGTCCAAGTATGTAGGCCGCTTCATTGACTCATCCCCAGTATTTTATGCGTAAACCGTCAAGTACGGAAGGGAAAGTATGCATCCGCGAGGTTAACAAAATATGAGGACTCGCGGATCGGAACCACATTATTCGGTTGTCTCGGGTTTCTAACCAAATTTTCCCCCAGATCCATCACGCGCTGATTCTAATGGGACCCCTGTCAGCGACTCATGATATGACTGCCCGGTCGCGTTTACGCGCCGTGTCGGGGAAACTTGTCGCCTGGCGTGATGGATTCGACAGCACCCGCGACAACACCTGGATTCGTTTTTCTCGGATTCAGGAAGATCGGAATCTGGTGCTGGCGAGGTGAACGAGTTCCGCTTCTAACCAGGGGCGATGAATAATGGCCCGTAGACTGAGTGGGCCGCATGCTCAGCGGTTTTAAAGTCGCGGCCGCATGTCGAATCCGTGCGTCGATGACGGAGCGCGTCGGTACTTAATGGGCGGCCTCTGTGCTTTCGACATGCCAAGCTCACCCACACAGATGGCCGAGACGATACACGGGTTATATCAGCCCCGAACGACGCTGTCTTAACAAGGTGGTCCTGCTCAAGGACTCGAATCGTATGCAAATGCCTCGTGTTAGTGATAAATTCTCGCGGAGGAACGTCATATCCTCCCGTCCTTTGCAAATGCTCGGGTTGCGCTAGATCGCGTTTGCTCTCGAGTATCCGTCAACCAGAAATATCTGATTTCCCAGAGAGGCCCGATGAGCCGTTCGATCGTCCAGATTGTCTGGGACCACACGGATCCTCCATGTGTGTCTATCGCGCCTTTTCATTCATCTCGACGGAAACCTGCGACAAGCCCGTCTCGTCGCTGCTTTGTGTGTTAATCTCACACTAAACTCTCCTTTTCAATCCAATAACTGTCAAGAACTTCGACCTTTTATTCAACTATTATGCTTGAGAAAAGCATATGCCGCAAAATAAATGAGTTTGAAAATTTTTCGCCGAGTTGGGCGAGGCTTCAGGCAGAATTGGCTTATTAATAGTGTTCCGCAACCCGCAAAGCAATGAAGTTTGTTATATTTATCTGAAATTTTTGAAAGACGACGGCAGTTGAAATTACTTGATGAAAAATAAAAGTTGGGTTTTCTCATAATAAAGCTTCAGACAAAGTTTTACCTGCTCAAATAAGTTATCTTAATGTTTCCTTCTGAGAAACCTTTCTTCAAACCCACCTTTCAAATTTTTTGAAAGTCACTCCATTATAGCTGATGCGTCATTGGAAATTAACTTAATTTTTGCAAAAAGCAGAAACTTTTTAAATTCCTATCATAAAGCCTTGCAAGTAAAACCTCTCAGAGACTGCACAAAAATTATGAAACTTATTTGCTGGTCCACGGACAATTTTTTGGAAATTTCCCTGCAGTCCGCGGGCCCAAAAAGATTGGGGAACACTGGATTGGTAGGTACACTCTTTCTGATCACCTCTGGGAACATTTGAAATGAAAACACGCATTTCACGATGACTTTTTGATTAAGTGAGATTGTTGTCTTCGGTAGTATTAGCAGAAAATTTTAATGTACTGTACCCTATTTATGCAGTTATGGACTGCAACCTAAATCTGGGCAGCCATTCTTCAAGAAAATAACTGTGAAGTCCTGCAAAATGGGAAGA